TTCTTTTAGAAAATCAAGAAGAGCCTGGCTGTCGCTCGACCTCTTTCTTGACCGCTGGCTGCTCTTGGCTTCCTCAGAAGGGGCAGAAGCCGGTACAGTTTTGGGGCACCACTGACTTCCATAGTAGGAAATAAAAAGGAAGTCAGTGGTGCCCCAGAAATGTATACAGGTGTGGAACAACTTGTGGGTGAGTAGATGACAGAATTTTCATTTTTTGGGGTGAATCATTCTTTTTACAGTCTTAGAGTAAACTATGAAAGAAGCACTTCCCTAATGTTGTAAAATATGACTTTGCTAGAGGACTTGCAGCACACATGAACCTTCGAGAAGCAGAGTCAGTCCCCATGAAGAGAGACTTGCTGAACCAACCACAGGACATATCCAGCTAGCAGAAGAAGGCAAGCTGAAATGAGGAGGAGGAAGAGGAGGATACCAACTGCCATCCTCTGACTGGATCTTCAGAGCATTATGCTTTGCATGACCGATTTCATGAATACAATACAAAAGACCCAAGGGATGCTCTAAGGAGAGTCCTTGAACTTTACAGATGGGTAAATACTCAAACCGCAGAACAACTCTTTGCTGCAATACGCAAAAACTATTATTTCCTGAACATGCTGGATGCATCCATAAAGCAATGACCAAATGAGGATGGTATGTTGACTTGTTTTGAATTTTATGCCAAGTGTATAATTAAAGTGTTTTTTTTTGTTTTTTTTTAGATAAACAACGCTTTAAAGGTGACCTATTATGCCCCTTTTTACAAGATGTAAAATAAGTCTCTGATGTCCCCAGAGTGTGTATGTGAAGTTTTAGCTCAAAATACCCTACAGATAATTTTTTATAGCTTGTTGAAATTGGCATTTTTAGGGTATGAGCCAAAACGCGCTGTTTTTTGTGTTTGTCCCTTTAAATGAAAACGAGCTGGTGCTCCCGCCTCCCCTTTCAGAAGAGGGTGGAGTTTCTAGAGCTCGCGCACCGGCATCATGCCAGCAATAACAAAACTCTCTCATGCACTGAAAATGTCAGAAACTGCTAGTAGCGGTGTTCAGCCATACATGTTCGAACCGGTGTCGTGCCGAATTCTGCAC